TTGTCATTACACCACTATATACGTATTGTGAATAGCTATAATAGCAAGAGCATATACACATACTAATACATACAACAACCCCATTCTGTATAGAACTTTTCCGATATATTTGATAATATTCACATGGTATCTTGTTCAAGAGCATTACAAAGGTTATTGCTAAGGCCGATATTTGGCTTAATCCTGATATTTGTCATTTTGACGACGGTGCTTCATTATTTTATTGAACCAAATGAAGATCTACCTATAACGACGGAAGAGCCAACTATAACGACAGAAGAGCCATGGACAAACAACGATATATATAACATACCCACATTTGATTCTAATACCGTTTGCGATGGTGAATGCAACGACAATGATGAAAAATTCATCACATACTTACCACATAGTCAATTCAATAATCAACGCATTGAATTAGAAAATGCCATTCTTCTTGCATACTACACTAACCGTACTCTCATTGTACCTCCCCTTATACTCGGACATATCAGCGCGTGGGCACCGTTCGATAAGCTCTACGACTACCTATCTTTAAAGCTACACAAGGACAAATGTAGCTCGCGCGGTTCAAATGCAAAGTCAACGGGGATGCATCGAATACCACCTTGTGATTCCTGGACTAAGCTTAATTGGTATGAAGTATATAATCTGACGGCAATCCAAAAGGAAGAACGCATACGGATGATGTCAGCGCCAAGCTTTAAAGTTGAGTGGATAAAGGAGACCCTGCAAATAAAGGATGATGATATCAAATACTTCAAAGGCGATACCTTATATAACATTATGGTGTACGATGATCCCCAAAGCACCACTGCTCTTGGAAAATATCAACAACGTGCCGATATCTCAGACCTCAAGTCTCTTCCACAAAAACTCATATACTTCAACAGTTTGTTTGGTGGTTCCCGTGTTCTAACCGAACTCGAAGAACATCAGCAACTTCGTCGTCGCATATTACGCCGCTTTGTTTTCATCTACCCGAACGTCATGTCCACTGCCAACAAGATAGTTGCAAAATTGGGTGGTGAGCGATCCTACATCGGCATTCACGTTCGAGTGTCCGATGGACCTTTCAAAAGGGGCGCTCAACAAATAGTCGAGTCTATTATGAGAAAATTATCCGATTTCAACTCGACCTCTGATGAAGTGGGCCTGTTGCAATCGAAGACATGTCAGCACGACTTTGGTCCAATTAACGATAAGATAATCTACATGGCAACAGACATAGTTAATTCAAGAGAGACGAAAGAGTATGGATTATTATACGAGAACTTCCCGTGTATAATGACACTATCAGACTTTGATCCGTTATTGAAGGACTTAACTTCGGTAGTAAATAAATGGGATAACATGAACATGTACAAATTCCTTCTTCCATTCGTCGATTTGATAGTGTCTGCAAAGGGAGGCAATTTTATTGGAACCAGTCATAGTACGTTTACTAGATACGCAAGGCTGTTAAACAAAATGTTCTTACTTGATGAAATAAAATAAATCAGTAGTTCAACTACTGACAGGATGGTTGATTATCGAAACTGCCTGTGTTGTTTCTTACAGCATGTGGTGACAGACGGT